ATCACTGAGGGCAAGAGAAGAGACCTGATTTCCCAGGGCTAGTTAAGTCTTTTCCAAAAACCTAAATCGTCCTCATTCCTATCTGATTCCATTCCCAGTTGCTGGCTCCTAAACACCCCCACACCTTACTGGTTTTTCTTTGACACCAGTACCTTCCACCTAATTCAGGAAAACCCCGCAATTAGCCAATCTCTCCAGGTCAGGTTTCAACCTTTCACCGTCTTACCCCCAGGGCACTCATTTTCCTTATGGCACAACCGCAAAGGTAAACTGCACCCGGTAACCTGCTTCAACCTTATCCACAGCACAGGGCTGTTCTAGATCTGCTGGTCAAACGTCTACATCTTCCTGCCTAGTAACTGGACAGGGACCATTCCTCTCATCCCTCCAGACACCCCACTCCCCCTGCTTGCCTTTATTCCAATAAAAGCAAAAACAGCTATGGGGTGGTCACCCCCTTACTAACTACTCTAGGCATCCTCCTCAGGCTTGGAACTGGGAGGCCTCAATATCTTTCCACCAACTAACCCCTGTCTCTCCAGCTCTGAGAAAGCCTTAAGGAAATTTCTGATCAGCCTGACACCCTTCAGGATCTACCTGATTCTTTGGCCACTGAGTGGCTCCAAAACTGCAGAGAGCTGACTGCAGTTGCCTGCAGTCAACAGGGGGATCTGCACTCTCCTAGAGGAACAATGCTGCTTCTACACCAACAAATCAGAACTAGTTCAGTACCAGGGCCCAGCCAGGCACAGAATCTCAACAGCAAGTTTCCCCTCCAGATGGGCTCTCGCTTCCCTCCCATCCAGGCCCCTCCCCTTACTCACACCCTTCTGACATTTTTACCTTGTCTTTTAAACTTTGTAAAGGGATTCCTCCTGGACTCCTTTTGCTATCACCCAGTCTACCACACTAGACAAGATAAGTCAGTGCTCCTCTCAGAGTCGCTCTAGACCCAAGAATCCCAAAATGACAATTCTCCCTGTCAGCAGGAAGTAGTTACATCCAAAGAAATGGTGCCCCTATGCTTATCTATCTATCTATCTATCTATCTATCTATCTATCTATCTATCTATCTATCTATCTGTGTGTATACATATGTGTACACACAAATACACACATCCATATATATATATATATATATACATACACACAAATATATACATATGCTGTAGAATATTATTTTAAGGTGTGTTACTTTTGTTTATGTTGCATTTGTTTAACTCTGTGAAGCTGTGTTGCTGTGCTTGTCTAAAACACCTGATGGACTAATAAAAAACTGAATGGCCATCAGCAAGGCAGGAGAAAGGATAGGTGTGGCTGGCAGGCAGAGAGAATATACAGAAGAAGAAATCTGGGAGGAGAAAGAAAAGAAGTAGCCAGAGGAGGAGAACATCTGGGGCCAGCCACCCAGCCACACAACCAGCAATGGAGTAAGAGTAAGATTTACAGAAGTAAGCGAACGGGAAAAGCCCAGAGGCTAAAGGTAGATGAGATAATTTAAGTTAAGGAAAGCTGGCAAGAAACAAGCCAAGCTAAGGCCAGGCAGTTATAATTAAGAATAAGCCTCGGTGTGTGATTTATTTGGGAGCTGGGTGGCACACACCCAAAGAGAAAAAGAGTAAAAAACCAACAACAACAACAAAACACACACACACACACACACACATGAATGATCTGGAAGAAGGGAAATTCCCATCTCTTCTTAAAACCAAAGTTCGAAAGTGGCTCAAAGTTCCAGGAAGCAGACTATTTGTACAATTCCCAGAGGTGGTTGCAAAAGAAAAGCAGCTGACCCCAATCCCAGTTGTTGTAGAAAAAGGCAGCAAGACCTATCGCATCTCCTGTAGTTTTGAATTAAAAAAAAAAAAAAGAAGCTTATCTAGAAAAAACAAGAACAGCTTATTTCCCTATTCTGTCCCTAACTTACCTTTAGCTATAAAAACCCCACTCAAACCATGCGCCGTGTGTTCTCTTCCATTCTCGTCACAGTGCTGCTGGGTCTTGGGATGCCCCTCACAGGCTAACTAAGGTCTGCTCTTGCTGGTGAGGTCAGTGTGGGTTTCCTTCTCTGTTTCCTTCCTCAAACTCAGCTCTTACAGGGATAACCTGACAGGGCTGGGACCTGCGGACACACCGGAAAGTTAAAGGTCTGAATGTCCTTTGAGGTTTGCCAAGTCCGGTAGGGAAGTTCAGGTCAGGCTCCCACGGGAAAAGCGTGCCTGTGGGTCTACAGGGGTCCTACGTAAGATTCTCGCAGAGCCACGCAGACTGGCACCAGCCAGCCTGCATCCCTTCTTTACCACGACCACTGGCTCTGCCAAGGCTTTGCATCTGCAGCAGGGGAGCCTGACAGGTCTACAGCAACTCAGTCTGCAGTGCCCGCTCCTTGACGCCAGGGTCCATACTTGCTCAGTCTCCTGCCCCAGCTGCTTACATTTATGTCTGGGAAAGTACAAGGATATAGCTCTGGGGTTGTGCTGATGTCTGAAAGAGATTCGAAGTCAAATGCCAGACAATACTCAAAGCACAATGGCCCATCCTACATGTGATCCTATATTTATCTTATAGAATGAACAGTAACAACAGCCACAGACATTTTTCTGGTTTGACCTCATCTCAACCAGCTACTATGGATTTATCAAGACGTGCTTTTAGACTTTTGTGTAAACAACTGTAGACCTTAAGACACAAAGTATTGCTTTTTAAGTCCTAAATGAGTTAATTCCTTTGATGTTTACATTTCTACTGGAACTGACCAGATTGACTAGAATTATGTAAGAAAAACAAATCTCTAAGTAGGCTTTGGATTCAGGAACAGCAGGTTTCTGTTAATGTTTCAATTTTTAAGATAGGAAAAAGTTGCAGCCATGGGCTTCAACTTACTTGGAAATTATTCTGAGTTTTTAAAAAGATTATGTGTATGGGTGTTTTGCCTGCATGGATGTCTGTGTGCCACATGCATGCCTCGTACCCTCACAAGGCAGAAGAGGGCATCAGGCGCCCTGAAACTGGAGTTACAGACTGCTGTGAGTCACATGCGGTTGCTGGGAACCGAATCCTCTGGAAGCTGCCAGTGCTCTTAACTATGGAGCCATCTTTCCAGCACCACTGATTCAGGTATTTGTATAAATAGCCATTACTTAATTTTAAGGGTTCAAATTATCAAAATGATTTTTGAAACTAGTGTTTAAAGAGACACAGTTTATAAAATATAATTGTTCTTAATTCCCAGTCTGCCATTTAAAATGAACGCTACACTCAGCCTTTGTCAGAGATGCCTATTGCAACAGGAGACAGACAGTGACTGCAGAAACACACAACTGGCTATAGCGTCAAGGAGAATGAGGAGTGCTCCACCCTAAGGGACATCTCCACCCCTGGGGAACTCTGGGAACAGTACCGAAGAGGGGGAGGAAAGGCACCACGAGCCAGAGGATGAGGGGGTGGGCAGCACAAAGACGTCCTCTGGCTGCGACATGGGTGCCGCACTCATGAACTCTGTCACTGTGCTTATCTGAGTAACACCTCTCTATGACTAAGCCTATCATTTCCTCACGGATGGAAGAGGGACCCATGAGGCCCCACCTCTCCCTGGGATGATACTGGCAGTTAATGGTTGCTGGAGGTAGGGGATGTCATTTTCTTCAGAAGTGTAGCCACGGACGCCTTGCTTATGGTCCACAATGACCTCCTACCCACACTCACACAAGAAATTCCAAGGAAATTAAATGGTACACACAGAAGAAAGACACGAAAGCAAGTGGGGGGATGGCTGGGTAGAAGGGTTTTAACAGGAGGAGAAGATGAAAGGGTCTTGATGACAAAAATTAATTATATACTGTTAAGTTTCAAACCTGAGACAAACAGCTGAGGTGCCTACTTAACATCAAGTCAAGTTAACATCAGATCAAGGCAGATATCTGGCTGCCAGGTTCTCCCAGCATCCCTCAGTTCCTGTTACAGGGTAACGCTGGCACACCTTGAACTGGCTGTCCTCAGGCTTGACATGTGAGACAAAGAAAGGCCTTTCTTTCCAAGTTGCTTTTGGTCAGAGTTTCATCACAGCAACAGAAAGCAAAGAAGGACAGACACCAAGAGATGTTGCAAATAAATGGACCTGGGACATAGGCAGGTGCCAGTGTTCTAATATCTGACAAAACAGACTTCAAACCAAAACCAGTGATAAAAGATAAAGACGGTCACGCTGTGCTGCTTAAGAGAACAACATCAGGAGGACATTAGGATCCTTAACAATATGCACCCGATTTCATAACAGAAATGCTATCTATACCATACATACTCTAGGGCAGGGGTTGTATGCACTCACCTAACAACCACAGGAGCAAGTAAGCAAAACGGAATAAAACAAATAAGACCATTAAAAGATAAGCACTTGACTGGGTGTGGTGGTGCATGCCTTTAATTCCAGCACTTGGATGGCAGAGGCAGGAGTCTGTAAGTCTGAGGTCAGCTTGATAAAAAAAGAAAAAAAAAAAGAAAAAAGTATTTTGCTACCAAAAGAAGTGATTCTACTATATTAAGGGGCAAAAATAATAGCATAGTTTATTTCCACATAAGAACAAATTATATTCCAAATAATCACATAATTTCAAGAAAGATTTCTCCTAAAATATTTTTATAAAAAGTAACCCCAATGCCTTAAGTTCTGGAAATGCCACCTTGTACATTACTATTACCTTAAACTGAAACATTCTAAAACATCCATACCTTCTATGCTCTCATTTACATAGCTGAAAATTTTTCTGGCTATCTTTCATGATAAA